AAAGTCTAGTGCAGTCTATCTATTTGCTTGTTCTCTCGAGTACTCAAATGTACTCCGGTGTCCTGCCATGTGTTCTAGTGTACACTCTCTCCCATAGTGGGTGCCTTACACACGGGTCAGCACGCTGCCCAACGGAGAACTGGGGATTGACGGCCCCATCGGTAGCATGGTCCACATTCTCTCCGATATCATTGGCTTCGAGTGAGTCTTAAGTCAGCTGGTGTCTATGTATATACCACCTCTGATAATAAAAAAAATAATAATGATTATCATCAGAACAATACTAATAATAAAAGAAATGAATATAGCAGCAGCAAACAGCCTTAATATCACCATCAACATCATTAAGAAAAACACCATCATCAGTAACAACAGCTACAAAAACATCAACATCGTCATCATCTTCAAAATCATTATCTTTATCACCATCATTTTATAAAAGAATTAACAGTATGGAAGAGATAGAGTAATACTAGAAATTATAGAAGAGGATAGAACGTAACTTTAGGAACCTCAGTACGTGTTCACTGAGGTACGTCGTGTAACTGGGACTATTAACCTCACTTCATAATTCACGAGAAAGAGAATTCTTTTATTACATTTAATTTTACAGCTTCGAGCTGGTCCGACCTTCGGATGGATTGTGGGGAGCCCGGCAGAGCAATGGATCTTGGACGGGCATGATGGATTTGGTGCACAGGAAGGTGAGTATGTCAGGAGTCACTGATGAAGCTGAACAAGCTTCAGCGACAATTCAGTCGCTGAAACTTGTTCTATAACGTGTGTCTTTTCTTCACTATTGCCGATGGTAGGATATATACATCCAGTCTGATATGTTGTGCCTTTGTTTCAATTTATCAGACTTCGATCTTTGCTTTCACCACGTAATGTTACTGGGGAAATTTACTCATACGGAAATGCTACTTTACTAGCTTGAATGAATTACATTATTTGTAGCATCATCTTTCTTTCCAAATATCTCTGTTTGCAACACTCATATTTTGCAAGTTCGTTATAATATCACTATACATTTTCTATCTATATTATCTCCAAATTTTGTGCCAGAATACTTTCCTGTGGAGTTCCCTTGATAATGAGGTATTCAGAGTAGACAGACACATTACTTAACAGTACACGTCGGAGTGACCTTCCTTTCGTATCAGCAACGCTGAGCAGCTCAGATTAGTTACCTCTGTGCCAACAGGAGGTGGAGTTTGCAGTGGGACCGTTCACCATCACGCCGGAGAGGGAGACAGCCTGTGACTTCTCTGCAGCTGTTCACACTGATGACTTGGCTCTCATAATGGTCAGACCTGGACTCACCAACGACATCAGCGCCTTCCTCAAACCCTTCTCTCTCCTGGTCTGACAACAAACCTGGGTTAAATAAAGTTCACTTGGATTGGTTCATTTAACTATTGGTTGTTATTTCCGAATTAAGGATGAACGTAAAATAAACAGCAAGTATATATTTCATGTTAGTTACAGGTTACGGCTCATAATGAAAGTTATCTTCAGTAATATTAAAATAGCAATAAATACTCTTTCAATGTTGTTATTTCGTCTATTTCACATTTTTATGCAACAAGGAGAGCCTAGAAATTATGTTTTCATCTGATATACTTAAACGAGATAATTCTCAGATAATTTTCATAATTACCCAAAAAACATATATACGTAAGTGCACTTCTGATTATGGGCTAGTCCTTACACCCCCAAGCATCTTAACCTCCTTCCGTAGGTGTGGCTGTTGATTCTGTGCAGTGCTACGGGTCTTGGAGTGGCCATGGCGGGGGTAGTGTGGGCAGAGGACAAGGTGTTCGGCTGCCCCACCATCTACCTGCATGAAAAGGTCGCCATCTGTGTCATCCAAACCATGACCCTGCAGGGTGAGTGCTTGCTTGATGTAGCAGTCATGTGGTAATATACTATAATGTTCATTAGCTATAGTGATCTCTCTCTTATTTGGTATATATATATATATATATATATATATATATATATATATATATATATATATATATAATATATATAATTGATATTTCAGATATATATATATATATATATATATATATATTGATATATATATATATCTATAATATATATATATTATAGTATATATATATATGAACAGCAGCTTTGATTTGTTTAATATCTTAAGGCAGAAGCGCTGAGCCCGTAGGGGTCTTACGGTCCCTGAGGAATGGAAAACACTCAGTATTGATCCAAGGAAGAGGGGACAGATTCAATTCCTTGGATCAAGATCCACTCACTACCATTAAGGAACGTCTTTTGAGGTGATAGCTTAGAGAAGAAGGTGAAGTTTTCTTAATTCAATGGCATGCTGCTGTTAAGGGCTTGGGAAAAAACACGTTTTGATCTTAAAAAAACTGTATAAGGTCATGCCTTAACAAAGAGTTTCACAGAAACGTTCTCCGAATAAATGCTTGTTGTTCAGAGTGTTTCTTGTCTCTGTGAACTTCTTTTCCTACCTGTCTCTTTCACAGGATCTGACTGGCTGCCCAGGTGTGATGCAGGTCGCCTCATCACAGCTACTTTGGTTTTGGCCTCGTTTGTGTTCACCTCAGTCTACAGCGGGATCCTGACGGCCATGCTGACGGTGCCACGGGTCACCATCCCCATAGACTCCCTGACTGACCTGGTGGCTCAGACTAAACTACCTTGGCGCCTCGAGGCGGGATCCATGATGCCTGAGTACTTAATGGTAAAATTCTAGCGGAATGACTGATTTTCCTAAAGATCAACTACCTCTGACTCTGGTAATGAAAACTGGATGATTTTTTTGTCAGTCCAGGACCATTATCGAGAATGGAATGACGGAAAAATCTTCTAGTTTTGATCTATAATGCGTAGACTAGTTGCGAATTCTTCTATTTACATTATCGTAGCTTTTATTATTCGTCATGATAGTTCATTTTGTTTTTAGAATCTCACAAGAACCGAGATCTACTCTCACCTTCTTCCATCAGCCTGACAACATTCATCAGGCTTTGCTTGATCCCTAAGGGTTTAGCGATCACCCATGAATATAATAGATAATATAATCAACTCTAGATAACAATGAAAGCAACGTGAAGAGATTTCATCTCCTTTAGGAGTCTGGGGACCCGGTAAGGCAGAAGGTGGTGACGGCGATGTCTGGCACCTTCCCTGACTGCTGGGCCGCGCGCCAAGATATCGTTAAAGGGAAGTACGCTGCCCTCTGTGACGAGACTTCCATGAAGAAGTCTATGTCCTGGGACTTTAGGTGAGTTCCCCAGAAACACTTGTCATGTTCTAAGACTCGAGGTGAGGTACTGTAAACATTTATTAAACGTCATCCCTTCCTTTGGACTCCAGGTGAAGTCATAACGAACATTTATCAAACGGTATCCAGTGTGTAGAAATTATGGTTGCGTACCAAGCTTTCTCCCTCACCACCCAAAAAAATAATCATACAGGATGAATATTTCCCGTAGATTTGTGTGAATTTGAACATAATTCTGAGATATTCTTAAATAAATCTGTGTGAATTCGAATATAATACTGACAGTTTTATAAATCATGAATGAATATTATACATGTTACGATTACCATTGTGGATCCTCGTTTAATTTTACAGTACGACTGGGAAGTGTCACCTGTACATCGCCAGTCAGAAGGTGTATTCCAACGCTATGATGGCTATGGCTTTCAAGATCAATTCCACATACCTGCAGAAAACTGACGAAATGTATCCAGCGGTTTCAGTTTTCTTTCATGTTTATAAAATTCTTTATTCAGATATTGTCGATCTGATAACCTGTTGCATTTTTCTAGGAATTTGTAGTGAATTTTCAAATATATTCGTTATGAATGGCAGTCACATTGTTTTTGCTCTATGTTTTCTCGTAATTTTACTATTATTTATTATGAAGTGACAGAAAAATTCTACGTACAGTTATATAATCAAAACTTAATGAATGCCAAGTGAAGACATATGTTCAAAATTAACAAAACATCATTTGTACAAAGATATAATGAAACGTCAAAAAAAAAAAAAAATCTACTCCGTTCAGTTTATTAATCTAACATAGGTACATATCCCAGGATAATATATAACATTGGGTAAAAAGATGGTTGAAATATGGCTCTCATAAAAGATATTTCGAGACAGAGACATATCGGGTTACAATAACAAGAGACTATTTACTAGCAGTATTGGCTATAAGAAAATCAATGGAAGAGATAGTGAGCACCAGGGCTCTGTTGTCTGGAAAAGTGTCGATTTGTAATGGTTAAAGAACATCTGTTAGCAAGTCTTGAGATGCAGTTGTCGTGCTCCAGAATTGTTTGATCACATGATTTACAGACAAAATAATTTTAGGTTAAACCTTTCCATCTTTCACGTCCATTGCTCTCATATTGACAAAGTCCAACATACTGACGAAGACGACCAAACATGATAGTTTTTATTTCTATAAATACTTAAATATTGCGAGTGTATACATCATCTCTCTCCCTAACTTCCACATGAAGCTTCCGTAGTTATTGTACTCACTCTGGAATACCTCATCGCCTTACCTTACATTTCACTACCTGAAGTAAGAAACTCATTCCGTTTGGAATGAGTTTCTTACTCATTCCGTTTGGAATGAGTTTCTTACTCATTCCGTTTGGAATGAGTTTCTTGGGGCAGCAAACTATTTTAGCAATTTTTTTTTATAAATTCCTAACTTCTTTCACTGATTCAGTAACACTTTCCATTAAACCATAATCATTGACACATTCTTGATTTAGAATCACCTCGCCTTAAGTGCCTATTTAAACTTCAGTTACACCTCCTGTCGAACCGTAGTGGCGCAGTTGTATGAAGCTAATAATGCAATCTATTTCCTCGAAAGATTTCAAAACACTTTGTTTTATAATAATAATTTTTATATTAGCAGTGTTTTTAGCATTATAATAATATTTTGATGTCATAAGATCAATGTAAAAAAGTAATCAGCGATATCCTGATTACTTTTATCATTAAATCTAACCACAATAGTTTCGCCTAGTATCTAACAACATTACGCCACCATCACTATCTACACATTTCATGTTCAGACTCACTGTCAGCAATAATCATATAATTGTTTTACTTTCAACTTCAGTGCCAAAACACTTATCATTCCCACTACTAATTCAAAGCTCACTGACAGCAGCAGTGACTGTTCACTTCCTGACACCGGTTCACTTCCTGAGTGAGGTGAGATGTATATTATAAACAAGTGTACTGAGACCTATTGCCTCTGTTTACCTTGCATTAAATAGGTAGAATCCACCATGACCACCTTTAACATGAAGACCCCTCACTTCCTCATAACCCGGTCTATATTCTTCAGAAATCTCTCCTCTCGTTCCCAGCATCATGATGGTGAAGGAGTCAGGACTGCTGGCGAGGTGGATGGGTTTAGAGATCACCAACACCAGCCAGTGTCTGCGACCTCCAAGTTCAGATAAGAGGGAAGGTATCGCTGCCCTCAGTCTGGAGGCTCTCTTTGGCCCTTTTCTTGTTTTAGCTACAGGTGAGCTCATTTTTCTTCTTTTCTTGCTCCTCCTCGTCCTCCTTCTCCTCCTCCTCTTCTTCTTGTTCTTCTTCTAACACTACTATCTCTTCGCCAAACTATACCTGAAGACTTATTTCCATTAGTAAAAACTAGTCATATTTCAGAGTCAAATTCAAGACAAATCCACTGAAGCCTCCTGTATATTTGAGTTTAGTGTCACTCAACTTCTCTTGTATTACAACTACATACGCTAAATAATACGCAACCTTCGCAAATGTCTTTGCACTCCAGAGAATGTAAATAAAAGATTTCGCTCTCAAATTCCAAGTAGAAGAGATCCTTGAAGATTCGCGATGCGGACACGAATAGTGTATAGCTGGTCTCCTGTTGCAGGTTTGAGTGTGGGGGCAGCGGTGCTGCTGACGGAGATTCGTACATCAGCGATGTCTTCACAAATTCAAATAGGTAATTTAAAAATAGGTAATTTAAAAATATGTATTTTAAAAGTAGGTAACTTAAAAATAGGTAATTTATAAATTAGTAGTTCAGGTAGGTAGTTGCTGCCCATTAGCTGTTACTAGTAAATATGTCGGTACTAGGAAGAATTATGGACATATACACGCACGTAAGTGGAAATATAAGCTTTTGTATGTGTGTGTGTTTGTCTATAATGCATAATTGATGCCAGTTAGTTATATTTCAACCGTGCACAAACGAGACCCAAAAATCCCTCTTAGTAACTATGACCTTGATCTTACAGATTACCATCACTGTGAAGATTATGACGATCAAGACCATCAAGATGATCAAGGTGATCAGGAGAATCAATTAGTCCACACACACACACACACACACACACACACACACACACACACACACACACACACCACACACACACACACACACACACACACACACACACACACACACACACACTGGGAATACAGAAAATTTTAACAAGCTAGAGCAGAATCACACCTGGACAATCCACATCCATTTGTCCTCTTAGTTTTCGCTTCACACAGACTGGCTCTATAAAACTGAGCTACAAACATTGTAAACAAACCACGGAACGGGTGAAGTTTTACCCCATGACTAGTGGCCTGGGGTTTTACGACTCACTCGCCATGGGTTCATACCCCACTCGTTCCGTGGTTTGTTTCCAATCGTATTATTACGATTCCGTGATGCAAACATTGTACTATCCCTGCGGGTAGAGCACTTTTTGGTGAATGTAATAACCTCTCTCTCTCTCTCTCTCTCTCTCTCTCTCTCTCTCTCTCTCTCTCCTCTCTCTCTCTCTCTCTCTCTCATGGCAACATTTTCTTTTATTTTAGTCACAATAGTTCATGAATCATTTCCCTGAGTGATGATTTTTTTTTTTTTTTGCCTTCTCACGTTCAAAAATAAAATTGTTTTAGCAACTGCGTTTAATTTTTAATTAAACCCTCTCTTAGAAATACACAGAAATAGATCCAATAATTTAATAGTATCGTCAAGACACAGGAACTCATCTGCTATTCGCTGTCCACCTTGTAAATGCATTTGAGTTTCTCATTGGGCAACAGAGAGTGCTATGTTAGGTTAGGTTAAGTTGGGTTAAGTTGGGTTAGGTATGGTTTGCCAGGAAACAAGACAAGTTGACTCACGAAATCGTAATGACACGATTGCAAACAAACCATACCCCGGCCGGGATTGAACCCGCGGTCATAGAGTCTCAAAACTCCAGCCCGTCGCGTTAGCCACTAGACCAGCTAGCCACAATAAAGATTCATCCAACTAGGTATATTTCTACACCATAGGAAGGTTAGCACAGGCACCTCTGTGACCACAAATGCAAGTTTTTACAGACGAATTCGTCTGTAAAAACGAATTCGTCTGTAAAAACTTGCATTTGTGGTCACAGAGGTGCCTGTGCTAACCTTCCTATGGTGTAGAAATATACCTAGTTGGATGAATCTTATTGTGGCTAGCTGGTCTAGTGGCTAACGCGACGGGCTGGAGTTTTGAGACTCTATGACCGCGGGTTCAATCCCGGCCGGGGTATGGTTTAACAAGACAAGTTTTTCCTGACGCGGGTCTTAGTCATGACTCGCAGCTGGAGCTCTTGGTCAACTGACCGAGGCCTTCCGCTGGCTTACCGGTCCACCACTTTAAAAAATTATGGTTACGATTATAACTAGATTTTTTCTGCTTCCTCAGTGACCATTTTTCAGAGGTGGTGCCTTGATCCAAGGAGTTGTGGCTACCCTTCCTATCACTGGATCAACCTGATTATTTCCAATTCCCGAGACGCTGTATAACCCCTATGAATTTAGCGCTTTCCCGTTAATAGATCCTGACTGAGGGTCTGTGGGCAGGACGCTGAGAATTTCTGTCGGGTCTTACCTACCCATTAAAATTCAAAATATTAAAAAATTATTAATTCATAAGGTTTGTGTGAAAATAAAAAGCAGGTGTATATCTGTCACTATTTTTTTTTTTTTGTCTAAATTTTTATTGGTCTACTGTGGCTACTGAGAGGAAGCTTCAGCTCCTCAGTCCCCTCGTGAAGCTCTCCAGAAACGTTATACTCAATTATATTAAACGTAATTTCTGGGGAACTCTTTCTTTTGCGAATGATCTAAGCCTATCAGAAGAGGCTTTCTTAGGTTATCGCATGGAAACGAGATTTCAAGACTGAAAACTAATATAACTTTGGTCATCGATCACCTGTACCTTCCACCACTTGCAGGAACCCTTCCCTAGTTACACTGAACCATCGCTGGAGATATGAAGCAGACTGGATGAATCGTTTTCATCTTATGAATACAGGTTGGAAGGAAGAAAAGAGAAAAAAAAAACTTAAGGAACTTATCGGGAACAAGTAATAATAATAATAATAATAATAATAATAATAATAATAATAATAATAATAATAATAATAATAATAATAATAACAAAAAGACTCCGCTTTAGAAATTCCTATCAAGACATTTTCTCACAAACACTTCTCCCTTCAAGGGAGTGTGTTGATAACGTTGAAGGGCTCTTGATTCAAGAAATCAGAGCTAACTTCTCATTCCTAGGATCGAATCTAACAATCCCCTACCCTTTCTTCCCCAGTTCTCTATGAATATAATAGAATTCTCAGACACGTTTCACAGCTTCCCTCACTAAACTATTTATAGCTTCGCGAATATTTACCAGTTGTTGTCTATATTTCCTTCAGCGAGACGTATTCTTTGAAGCTGCTAAATTAATAAATTTAATTTTAAAGGTAAATTTGATGTACACACTGTATAAATAAGAGTGTGAAGGTACAACAGCCTAGCTTGTACGTTGTCATCAACGACACAAGGAAGGTGAGTGTTGACCAGAGGAGACAGAAAAGCCAAGTGACTAGCGTCTTGCTTACCGTTGACGAAGTAGGGTTCTGTGTGATATCTAGGCAAATGAATCAACATACAGTAGTGTTGTGGGATATAAATGTACAGGGATATTTCCGTGATGGTAATTCTGTCAGGATTTCAGCAAGTAGCTAGGTTTATCAGACTGGTAATGTACAGGTGGCATGCAACCCTCATGTAATGAGTAGGCTCTAATCTTAATAAACCAACTCACCTCGACCTACAATCAATATGCGCTCATATACATTATGTAATGGCAAAAAAATATGCAAATTGCAACTGTGTGACTAACAAGCATTTCTCTGACCACTCTACCAGGTATTCCCACAACTTGACGGAAACCAACGCACCACCTAGAACATGGTAACCACGAGACCTTTCATAAAGATTGCTGCTGGAGAAGTACGTATCTGTCTATACTGTCTATGGTGTTCTTGGCCCAATTGGCAGATCGTTGGTTATGGTGGGTTACCTAGGTCCTCCCACACTCCCATCCACGACATACGATGCTTATAATTAATTGGTTATGGTGAGTTACCTAGGTCCTCCCACACTCCCATCCACGACATACGATGCTTATAATTAATTGGTTATGGTGAGTTACCCAGGTCTCCACACTCCATCCACGTACATACGATGCTTATAATTAATTGGTTATGGTGAGTTACCTAGGTCCTCCCACACTCCCATCCACGACATACGATGCATACAATTAACAATAATACCTATGGGGACAGTTTACTAACAGTAAGTAAAATTATTGCATTAGTAAGAGTGATGGTAGAGGTGAGAAAAGGGACACTGAACTATGACTTTCAACAGTACACAGCGAGGCAGTGGAATGAAGGGTGACTGCAGGTTTCCAAGCTGAGGAAAATATTTAGAATTCATGAGTTCATTTTCTCTTGATGAGCAGATCTAAGAAGTATTTTCCTTTATATCAGCCTATATTCAACTGCTGGTGTAGTCTTGCTTATTAGAGTTAGTAAGATCTTAGTTTAAGATGGGAAATTAGGGGCCCAAGTCCGCCGTCTGTTTGTAGTAAATTAATAAAGGTGACTGAAATTACCCTCAGAGTTCCTCAAGGTTCGCATTATAATGTTTAATTACTCAGAATATGATAAAAGCAATTTTCAATCACCTTATGAGAGTTTTATCAACATGCATCACACATCACAGTCTATAAAATCCTTGAATCTGTAGGTTGTTTCTGTGAATAAAAACAGCATGAAAAGTGTTTATTAAAAAAAGCTCATATTTTGAATGTGAGCTTTATTTATTGCATTTTACATAAACAATAGGAGGTGACGACTAAGAACTACGAGCATATTAAAAAATGTATATGTATAACAAGGTTTCTTGTTAAGTGTAAGACTCTTGAAAAAAAATTTATTCATCATGACTCGAAAAAATTATGCCATTAATTCGAGCAATTAAATATTTAACATAATTAAAATTAGTATAATAGAAGATACCTTCTTTCTTGATAATGTGAAATGCGTTTAGGCTTTTTTTCATAATATATCAGATGTAAGACTTTAAATCCTCTAAACCCTGTCTGTGGTGTCACCACGTGTGTGTGACAGTGGGGACTGTGGTCACGGGTTACCCAGACACCAGACGGATTCGTCACCATCACAGGACCAGCAGCTAACCTCCTCTACATCATTGCCCAGTTACTCCAGTTTGAGTCAGTAAATAAGTAATTTCTAGATTTCAATTAGAACTAGCTTCAAGTATGTGAATATTATTTCTTGCCACATGCATTGGACAACGAAAGATATTTGAAATGCTTAGCAATTCGCAGACAGGCGAAATTATTTACAAACATTGTCTGTATATCAACAGCAGGACTCGAACCTGCAAACTCTGTATCAAAGTAACCAGTACTTTACCACGGAGCTAGACCCCAGATAAGTATGGGCGTCTAGCCGGAGCCAGGCGGTGGTTCCCCATACTTGGTAATGTACTGGTTACTCTGGGAATTGCTAAGCATTTCAAATCTCTTTCGTTGTCCATTGCATGTGGCAAGATTTGAAGAAATAACTTTTATAAACGAACTTTGTACCCGGGGGTATGGGGAAACATCGTCTGGCTCCGACTAGACGCCCAAACTTGTCTTGGGTCTAACTCCATGGTAAAGTACTGTGGACTCTGATACAGAGTTTGCAGGTTCGAGTCCTGTGTGAACAGAGACAATGTTTATATATATATATATATATAATATATATATATATATATATATATATAATATAATAGAAGAAAACAGTTGAGGGCTTTCATGCTTACACACATTAGAGTTTGCTTAAATCTCTGTGTTTGTTATTAAGCTGTTATTGCCTGATAGGTAATATACAGCCTTAATGACCTTCATACACTCGATAGTCTTTAAGCCTCACAAATAAACAAACCTAATACTTTAATCCCTTGAACGAGGATATACACTGATCAGTGCATATACACTTGGTGTTTATACTGTGCTGGCTATCCTAATGCAACATACTGTTACAATGATTATAAATGGTTCGGTGATTCCAATAGTGTGTGGATAAGAACACGTGTGTACCGCACAAGACATTTACTGAAGAAAACGTTTCGCCCGAGTGCTATCAGTATTCATCATCACTCCTTCACCAATCTTTCATCAGTCCTTCATCTGTCTTTCATCAGTCGTTCCTCAGTCCTTCATCAGTCGTTCCTTAGTCCATATTATCACTTACAAAGTCACTCATAACGAAAAGTTTCCTGTAATATGTGTTCTGAAATGTACGTAAGTGTCTTTTTTCTACATTCTGTTTCAAAAACCTGCAGACGCTCACCATTATCTTACAACAATAAAGGAATGTGAAAATAAAGATAAATAAATCAACTGTAAAATTTAGACGTAGTTTTGCACTTCATCGAAGAAATTTACATATGCATGTATTTTAATTTTATAAATAAAACAATGAGTTTGAATAATCGGATTAACATCAGTTGCTCTCTCTCTTCTCTCTCTCTCTCTCTCTCTCTCTCTCTCTCTCTCTCTCTCTCTCTCTCTCTCTCTCTCTCTCTCTCTCTCTCTCTTAGCTACCAGCTGTTGGTACCAGATGATGGGTTGTGGGGCACTGAGAACCCAGATGGCACCTGGTCAGGCATGATGGGCATGATCGTGAGGGAGGTACGTCGAATATGTGACGTGTGACGGGTGTGTCAAACTTGAGACTTGTGACAGATACGTCGAACGTATGACGTGTGACAGATACGTCGAACATGTTACGGGTGGCAGATACTTCGAATCTGTGATGTGTGGAAATTACGGTGAATGAGTGACACCTGAGAGACACGTCTAATATACATGAGTGTGAATAAGAAGCATATTATTCACACGTACAATAGTTAATATTATATAGAAGCGTGAGCTTAATAAATAGTGAGCAAGTCGAGCTAGTGGTGATTCCTTCACGAGGTTGCAATACAAAAATAACTCGCATGCACACTTTTATGTGTGGATTATATGTGTATTGTTCCAGCCACTGTACTGTGCCTTTTTGTTCTTCAGGAGGTTGAGTTCGCCCTGGGTCCCTTCACCATGACAGCAGAGAGAGGCTCCGCCAGTGACTTGTCCTTTCCTCTAAACAGCGATAACAAAGCTATACTGACAGTCAGACCACGCGTGGAGAATGATATCTCAGCCTTCCTGAAGCCCTATACCACAGAGGTAAGCCTGTTACCCAAAGGTAAGCCAGTTACTAATTACCTGTCAACTGCAGGTGAATAAAGTAGACTGTAATATAGTCTGGTTATAGGCAATCTTGATTGTTCGTAGTTAATTTAAGCTGCGTGTTGACAATGACGACCAATAATATTTTGATAACTATACTGGAAGTGAATATACACTATACGTACACCGAGAGATATACACCTCTCAGTGTATATATATGTTGTTGACTTCACATAGAGAAAAGGAGACCATCACAAAAGGAAACAATAGTTTCAAAGCTATGTCTGAATATGTAGATTCACTCAACAGCTGCACCCAAGTGGGGGATTGAGCTTTAATCACAAAGCACAATTATGGATATTGATAATATTTAATTCCCTAGTGCCTGAAAATCCATCGTTTGATCCCATCCTGGACAAGCCATCACTAGATAATCAAGTTATGCTGTCCATGGGAATTTTTCTGTTTGTAAATACCTCATCAATTTCTACAGTATATAGAAATGCAATTGTTATTTTTGTACCATTTTTTATCAAAAGATCTCACCATAAGTGCCAGTACAATGTTCTTATCAATAATTAAAGAATCATAGTTCTCTCTCCAAAAGCTAGTAGCTTTCTGGCATTCATCTGGTGCCACGAGTGCCATCTTGCATAATATATGAGGCTCTAAGTTTCTTTAATGAAATACTTTTGCCAAAATCAATGTCTGGGACAAATTTCTTTAAAATATCTACCAAGTGAATCGCTTGGGAGAATGGCAAGTTATGTTCCGTCATGAGAGGGTTAATTCTGCCCTTGCAAGCATAAGCTAATCCTGATACCTTCTTAAAATGCTCTTTGATACTGACTATGGTTTTCTTGGTATTTACATTTCTTGCATGTTTTAAGGAAGCTTTATGAGCCTTAAGAAATGGCTTATTATAGTTTTTCCTCTCAAGATTACCTGCGTTTTCATATTTTACACCCAAAAATCCAAGGCGGATCTTCAATATCGTGGAGTGGATCACTGCGTGAGACTTGCAGGGAACCTCCCAACGAGAAGCAGTCACAGAAAAGTCAGAGTGGCAGCAGCCGATTAAGTTTCAAGAAATCTATGACTCATAACAGCAGCCATCTGCCTAATATGTTTATTGCCGAGTAAACACAAATAACTTGGACCTGAATGCTTATCAAATCACGGAACGGGTGGGACCGAACCCAGGGCAAGTGAATCCTAAAACTCACAAGACTCACTTTCCATGGGTTCAAATCCCACCCGTTCCGTAATTTGTTTGCAATCGTGTTATTACGGTCCTGAACGCTTAGTGTCAACATCTTGTTATAGCTTTCTATACGCGCCCCGTTTACTTACACAACATCTGATAAAAAAATATAAAATAATCATGTACAAGACATTTACGAAAACTTTATTAACACTCAGTAAGTCTTCATTTATACCTTTGCCTTAAATATAATAAGAAAATGAAATGAAACGGTAGTCTTTAAATAAAGCGTACATGTGTATTAGCACTATTCATAACAGTCTCCCATTCCCCAAACACTGAATAACCCAGAGGAATCTAGCATTTACCTTTTAATTTAATAATAATAATAATAATAATCAAACCACGAAACTGTGACATTTTCTCGCTTAGGTGTGGCTTGTGTTGCTGGCTAGTGTGGTGTGTGTGGAGAGCATGATGGTGTGGCTCATGTCAACAGAGGAAAAGATATTCAATAAACGCACCAGGAATGTGGTCTCTAAGAAGGTCTCTCAGACCTGGGTCTGGGTTCTTCAGGTCGTCACACTTGAGAGTAAGTCTGCGTGAAGATCCGCTCAGCATGGTGTAAACATGAGGGACTTCTCAGCACAGTGTATACATGAAGGTCTGCTCAGCACGCAGAGTATACATGAAGATCTTCTCAGCACACAATGAACACATGATGGTCTGCTCAGCACACAGTGTATATATGAAGGTCTGCTCAGCACATATTGTACACAAGAGGGTCTACTCAACACACAGTGTATATATGAAGATTTGCTCAGTACATAATGTACACATAAAGATCTGCTCAGCACACAGTGTGTACATGAGGTTTGCTCATCACATGGTATATAAATGAAATTATCCTCAGCACAGTGCCATGCAGATCACCATGCTGAAGAACACGTGTCCAAGAAACTGATGCTTCCTTCACTTTCTTTGGATTAAACTTGATTTCCTCCTATTACTCAGGTGCAGAATGACTCCCTAAGGGTTTGGCGTATATCACTATGAATAATAATTACGACGTCAAGCAAATCAGGAAGTAAACTTTAAGCCTGATATCACTTCCTTCGATATCGTCTTTTTAGTTTTGAGTTTGTGTGTGAAATGTAGCTATCAACACATGAAAAAATAATATAAATTTATATCATCATAATAAGAATAATAAATATATTTATCAACACAACAGAAAACATTCTTATTCACATTACAAAACAGTCAACATTATACACCAATTAAATACAGTTAACAATACTATCAAAACTATTTTTATATCCCAAACACTGTATTGCTCTTTAGTGGAGCGAATAATTAATTCTGTTACACCACTACCAGGTCCTCAGTTTCTTCACAAGAGAGACGCAGGACGTCTCATAGCCACCTCCTGGCTCCTGGCTTCCATAGTCTTCGCCGCCTCCTACGGCGGGGTCCTGACCGCTATGCTGACGGTTCCTCGGGTCACCATCCCAATAGACTCCCTGCCTGATCTGGTGTCCCAAACTAAGCTGCCCTGGCGGCTCGAGGCTGGCTCTATGATAACTAGATTTCTTTTGGTAAGACAATTTTCATAATCTAATAGGAACACAGATGTAATTAACGTGATATTTTATTGTGGCAACATTTCACTCTCCAGGAGCTTTGTCAAACCGTTACAGCTTCACAGTAAAATGTCACACTAGTTGCATCTGTGTCCATTTACCTAACATTTTGTCGGTAATTCTACATTTATTACTAAACCAAGTTAGTGATTCAGAACTTCGTTCTCTCAAGTGGCAGTAGAGTTAAAAGATATTCCACTCTGCTGCAGGAGTCCGGGGACCCGATGAGGCAGAGGGCGGTGACGGCGATGTCTGGGAGCATTCCTAACTGCTGGGAGGCTCGTCAGGAGCTCGCTGAGGGTAAATTCGCTGCCATCTGCGACGAGACCACCATGAAGAAAGTCATGGACTGGGAGTTTAGGTGATCTACACAAACTAAGACTGATTAATTTGGGAACAAAATTCTTTTAAATAGACTGTACAAAACAGATTTTTTTTACAGACTTCTTTTCCCTCTCAGCAGAGCTTCATCAGGTCAAGGGTCAATCAAGCACTAATTAGAGCCATGTGTTGTCTGCGATACGTTCGTTGTCTTACCGGCCAGATTCACAGAAAAATTTGCGTTTCAGTATTTATGTACCCATGCGAAATCATCTTTTTTCTTGAAGTTTATATATTTTTATTACTTGTAGCACTTGAGCTTCTGAATTATTGGTTTTAACTGGGTTTTAAGCATATCGTCTGCACAAGGGTCATTAGTTCACCACCAGCCAACAAATTTTAATCACTAAAATAGACAAAAGTAAGCTCTCATTGTATATACATGATATACACACCTCTCGGTGTATATAATCTTAATGGTTGTTAAGATGACATTCATTTATTTATATAACCCAGTATACTTGTTATAAATTTTTCTATGATTAAGGCAATTATGACATTTATTTCTTTAAATATATATAATTTAAAAACTTATTTGCTTATTTATTATTTTAATCCATGTACGTTTTTATTCTGACTTTCTTGATCTTAGTATATAAACATGAATCCATGATTTAATTTTAATTCTTATCTTACGTAGTAAATAATAATTCATATTAATGTACAAACAGACTAAGAATGAATTCCTAATCTGTCAATTTTAAACTTAATAACTTACTATTATGGTGTCGTGGGGCGCAGTGCGAACGCTCAGTGTCACCTCTACATTGCTCGGGAGAAGGTCCTAACTAACGCGATGGTGGCCATGGCTTTCAGAAAAAACTCTTCCTATCTTTCCAAAGTCAACAAAATGTGAGTTATCCTACTGATATTTTCTTACTATATCGTTACCATGGAGACGGTGACACCCTCACCGAACTTGAAATTTTTTAATAGGTGAAAAGCCAAAAGATAATGCTGTGATAATGGAAACCCTTAAAAATACTTATAATAATAATTCCAGAATCTGGATTATTCATTGTCGACAAGACAAAATATCTCCTGCCTCTCCCATACACATCATGCTTCTGAGCATCCCTAATTCCACCTCACACGCGACTGTATTTCATGAAAGCTAAACCCCGTCTAGGTTAATCTAAGAACTGATAAGCACCCCTGACTGAATGACTCCTTCATGTAGCATCCACACGGTGAAGGAGGCTGGACTGATTTCTAAGTGGCTTGGAGAGCAAGTCACCAACGCCTCGCAGTGTCTTCGACCTCCCTCCTCCGACAAACGTGATGGCATCGCCGCTCTCAACCTCGATGCCTTCGCTGGTCCTCTTCTCATCCTCCTGGGAGGTAATGGAATCTCCTCTCTAGAGAGAAAAATCTAAGATTTTTTAGTAAAAAAAAAGTCTTGAAAATGTATATAGAATCCTATAAAGTTTATGGACAGTTGTATACCCGCCTTGCGTCAGGATATGTCTCTTCAGACATAGCAAAGCCATAGTTAGTTCGTCAAATTTAGTAGATTACAAGGGGGTCATCTTTATCCAAATGGCATACTGACAATTGCCGACAATAGCAAAGAAAAGACACGCTGCAGTTCAAGCTTCTGTTGATAATGCTGGCAGAGGGAACGGTTGATGCTGAGGGTATTTATTACATTTACATATGCTTATTTTCACAGATACTTTCAGGGACGCTGCTTGCCGGGGTGATGTTTCTGGGAGAGCTCTTGTACCATTACCTACTACACAATGTCTAGGAGGCAGCCTAGAAGAAGGCCTAGGAAAATGTCAACATTCAGCCTGCCAGACAATTTCTCATGATTTTCGTACGTAGGGATGAATTCATAGTAATGATGAATAGGAAGAATAAAGAGCATATATTGAAATATTTTCTTATAGGCTCTGCGTCTTATTCGTATTTATGCATATCTATAAAATATGTATTTTGTAGATTTTCTCAATATTTATTTTTCCAGTAGTTTGCACTGTATTCTCTAATTTGAGAGTCAGACGAACTGAGTGAATTTAGTATTAGATATAGAGTGATGACCTTATCACTCCTTAGAGAGGGAGAGGGAAAGTGAGAGAGAGAAAGAGTGTATGTGTGTGTGTGTGTTGTGTGTGTGTGTGTGTGTGTGTGTGTGTGTGTGTGTGTGTGTGTGTGTGTATGTGTGTGTGTGTGTGTATGTGCGTGTGTGTTGTGTGTGTGTGTGTGTGTGTGTGTGTGTGTGTATGTGTGTGTGTGTGTGTGTATGTGTGTGTGTGTGTGTGTGTGTGTGTGTGTGTGTGTGTGTGTGTGTGTGTGTGGTGTGTGTGTGTGTATGTGTGTGTGTGTGTGTGTATGTGTGTGTGTGTGTGTTGTGTGTGTGTGTGTGTGTGTGTGTGTGTGTGTGTGTGTGTGTGTGTGTGTGTGTGTGTGCAATTTAAACTGAACTAGAGGCTCAGCATTATATATGTTCTCATAAAGTTGAATATACAAATATAACCTTCCTTCTTTTACAGGCATCAACAAAAATTACAAAAGCATCTTAAGGACCAAGACCTTACCCCTTCTTTACACATCTGCATCATCTGTACCAAGATAACCACAAAGGCACACAAATCTTTATTAAAAGTACCACATTTATGAGGCTGTAAACAAAATCACATATCAACAATATTTAATTCATCACATGACCATATATGATTCGTCCGAATAATTTAAGAACACTAAATTCATTATAAAAATAATTAAGAAGTTTTAAATCCGATAAAGAACACGATCCCTTACACAAGTAATAGATTTATTAATATATATCTTAAATTTAATAAGTAGATTAAGTCTTTCAAACAAATACAATAAGTGTGTTAAATCCCTCAACCAATTGCATTAAGAACATAAGAACAAAAGAAAGAAGAAACACTGCAACAGGCCTACTGACCCATGCGGAGCAGGTTCATGCCCCCCCCCCGGATTAGCTCAATGACCCACCCAGACTGGTCACCTCCACTCAAGGATGGAGCACTGCACCAGACCCAGCAGCACAAGCTAGTCAGGTCCAACTCACACCCACCCACACCCGCTCATGTAATTATCTACCTATTTTTAAAATTACACAACGTTTTAGCCTGAATAACTGTACTCGGGAGTTTGTTCCACTCATCCACAACTCTATTACCAAACCAGTGCTTTCCTATATCCTTCCTGAATCTGAATTTTTCCAACTTGAAACCATTGCCTTCTGCAGTGTTCCTTCGTTCTTATGTTCTTATGTTCTTATTGCTGCGAGTCCTGTCTTGGCTGGAAATTTTCAGCACGATATTTACCTCCCCTTTATTTATTCCTGTTTTCCATTTATACACCTCGATCATATCATCTCTAATTCTACGCCTTTCGAGAGAGTGCAGATTCAGGGCCCTCAGTCTATCCTCATAGGGAAGATTTCTGATACATGGGACCATCTTTGTCATCCTCCTCTGTACTTTTTACAGAGCATTTATATCCATTCTGTAATACGGTGACCAGAACTGAGCAGCATAGTCTAAATGAGGCCTAACCAAGGATATATAGAGCTGAAGAACAACCTGGGGACTTCTATTATTTATACTTCTAGATATGAAGCCAAGAATTCTGTTAGCTTTATTGCGAACACTAATGCACTGTTGTCTTGGTTTTAGATTACTGCTAACCAGAACTCCTAAATCCTTTTCGCAATCAGTAGTATGAAGATCTACATTATTTAGTTTATATGTGGCATGGTTTTTTAACTGTCCAACATTTAGAACTTTGCATTTGTCAATATTAAACTGCATCTGCCACTTCTCCGACCATTGCATCAGTCTATTCAAATCATCCTGGAGTGCTCTGGTGTCCTCATTAGAATGAATTGGACGGCCTATTTTGGTGTCATCAGCAAATTTGCTTATGTCGCTATTTATTCCCTCACCTATGTCGTTTATGTAAATTGTGAACAACAACGGGCCCAACACTGACCCCTGAGGAACACCGCTTGTGACGTGCCCCCATTATGATTTCTCCCCATTTATGCTGTCTATTTGTCAGCCACGCCTCTACCCAGGAAAAAAATTCTACTCCTATTCCGTGTGCCTTAAGTTTCCTCAATAGCCTCTGGTGTGGAACTCTATCGAAAGCCTTACTAAAGTCCATATACACAATATCATATTCATTACCATGATCTACCTCCTCAAACACCTTAGTGAAAAAAGTTAGTAAATTCGTAAGACAGGAACGCCCCTTTGTAAAACCGTGTTGAGATTCATTAATCAATTTGTGCCTGTCAAGATGGCTACGAATTGCTTCGGCAATTATTGATTCCACAAATTTTCCCACTATGGAGGTAAGGCTTACTGGTCTATAGTTCGAAGCCAAGGACCTGTCACCTGCCTTGTAAATAGGTATTATATTTGCCATTTTCCACTTATCAGGCACTATGCCAGCTTGTAGTGATATGTTAAAAAGATTAGCCAAAGGTATGCTAAGTTCCTCTTTACATTCCTTTAACACCCTTGCAAACAGTTCATCAGGGCCTGGGGATTTATTAGGTTTCAGTTTCTCTATTTGTCTGAGGACCATGTCACTAGTTACCGCGATCGTACATAGTTTGTTATCATCCTGTTCTACATAATCTATTATTTCAGGAATATCGCTAGTATTTTCCTGGGTGAAAACTGAGAGGAAGTAGGTATTTAGAATTTCACACATATCCTTATCACTGTGATCTGACCAGAGTTACTCTTAAGTGGGCCAATCTTGTCCCTAATCTTACTTCTGTATACCTGTATACCTAAGCAATTCTAGAAACTCCATTAAGGGTAATTAATAATTTAAACAACTGCAATAACTGTAAAAAAAAACTTCAGTTGACTGCAATGAATATATTAAATCCTTTAGGCAACTGCGATAACTGAAATATATCTTTCAAACAACTGCAATAAGTGTTTTAAATCCCTAAAGAAACTGCAATAAGAGTATTAAATCCTTAGAGTAACTACCATAAATGCATTAAATTTTTCATTCAGATTCAGTAAGTGAATTCAATCCTCTACATACCAGTAATAAGTGTATTAAATACTTTATGTGGTCTCTATAAACATATTAAATCCCCTACAAGTCGCGACATGTGCATTAAATCCTTCATATATCTGCATTAAATATATTAAATCACTCCACAAAATACAGAATAATAGGAATATAATCCTCCTCTCAAACCTACGAATGAAAGCCTTAAATTCCAACGTAAATGTTCAATAGTATTACAATATTAATAATGCAGTATTACATTATCGTGTATTCTGTTAATACGCATTTTGTGTTATAACATCAGTTACCTGTAACACAATACAATATATAGATGGACGTATAATTCCCAGTCATTATTAGTTACAGTACAAGCAGACGGGCATATAATCCCCAGGTAGTCACAAATCGGTAATTAATCTCGCAAACACAATATAAACAAAGGTTTAAGCCAAAGGTGCTTCACAGTACAACCTACATTATTATTATTATTATTATTATTATTATTATTATTATTATTATTATTATTATTATTATTATTATTATTATTATTATTATTACTGTTATTATTATTATTATCATTATTATTATTATTATTATTATTATTATTATTAATTATTATTATTATTATTATTATTATTATTATTATATTAATTTGGAAATGCAAAACCCACTGGGGTATTGAGGATAATCAACATTCATCAAAGGTAGAATGAGGCTTGTTAAAATATTTTGCAACAAGGGCCCTTCACCAGCATCAAGGCACCATCTTGAAGTTCAAGAGATAAGAACCAAGTCGATTAAATATTCATAGAGGTAGAAGTCAACGAAGAGACTCAAGCTGTTGTCTTCTACATCAATTTACCTGCATAAAATATTGGTAATTCATTGTCACTTTAAACAGTAAATAAAATATATTTTTTGTACAAGGTTTCTCCACAGCATTCTTCATGATTCCCGACTGTGGGTGACAAATCCCAACTGTGGGTGTAGTAAGATAAAGGTTCTCTTGGCTAAAAATGTCTAATAATAACCACTTGTAGGCTAACGCCATTGCGTACCTACTTAAACATTCTCTACTACACAAATAGTCACTGACATGTTGCCGCTCGACAGAATAAAACTAATTTAACTCTAAGGGCTTGCGTCTTGCGATCATCAATAATGCAAATATTGTTTTGCAAGGGAAGGAAGAACCGGGTTGTTTTTCTATATAAGCTCTGGTGGAACGTGATGTTCCTGACTGAAGGGCCAGGTGAGTCAGGTCACTTGTATAAGTTCACCAGGCTACCAGGAGGACAGGTACAAAGTTTAGGCCGGATGTGGGTTAG